GGGCCGCCCCTTGCCGCCCGCTGAGGAGGACGCCGGGCTCCGCGGGCGCTGGCCGGGCGGACGGAAGCCCGGAGGGCCCTCCCTGCGCGCGCGTGCCCCGGATCCAGGCGCCTGAGGACCCTGGAGGGGCGGATCGGCGACGGAGGGGGACGCCGCCTCGGGGACCCACTCCTGGAAGCTCGCGGCGCCGTCCGCCGAGGGCCTGTGGGCGGCCGGGGTCCGCGGGGACGGCCGGACTCTACCCTCACGCCGCCCCGCGGTTGCCTCGCCCGCCGCGCGCACCTTCCCGCCTGTGCGGGGCCGCGGAGCGACACGATTTTCCGGCCCTTCGGGGACCCAGGGGAAGGTCAGAGGGCACCCGGGAGGGCTGGGGCTGAGGAAGGACCCGCGCCCGTGGGGCGAGCGCCCGGTCAGGGGTGTGTCTTCCTGCTCCGTGCCGTGCTAGGGAAAAAAGGAGCACGCCTGGTTGGCATGATAAGAATTTTGTTTATACTTAACAAAATTTGCCCGAGAAACGCTCAGCTGCGGCAGCCCCCCAGTTTGAAAATAGCTCGTTCCCATCCATCCTTGCCATTATGAAAACGGTTCATTCTTCTGGCCCTGTAAAAACACCCGAGACAGTACGCAAAGTGTCAGGGAAAAAAATGACAACGGTGTACAATCTATGGCTCAGCAACAGCCCCTGCAAACATTTGGGTGACATCAGTAAATGCAGACATATATGAACAATTTTGTAGGCTTCGGAATAGTAGACCATCGGGTACCATAATTTATCCAAGCCCTGATGAACATTTGATTGTTTTCTGTGAGTCACATGATTAATTCTGCTCAAAAGGATTTATCTGATTGTTGTCTTAGGATGCATTTGCAAATGGAAGTCAAGGGTAACATTCCGCTTTAAAACATATAGCAGCTGCCCCAGCTTTTGGGAAACAGAGGCAGGCAGATGTCTGAGTTTGAGACCAGTCTGGTCTTACATAGCAAGTTCCAGGGATACTTAGTAAGACCCTGTTTTCTAACACTCACCCTGCCCCCTAGCATCTTTTCCCGGTTTCCATGTATTTGGAAAATTATTCTCAGACCCAGACCCAGACCCAGTGTTACAGAAAATTCCATCCGTGTATTCGGCTCATTGCCTTGTTTTTCTTCCTCCTTTCTTTCACTTTTACCTTTTTTGTTGTTTTTATTTTTGGTTTAAGATAGTTCCCAAATAGCTGAGCAGCCATCCCAATTATGTAAATAAGCTCTGACTTTTCATCCAATCATTTTACTCTTAACATTCTAAGAATGTATTTGCAAAGGGCTTCTTGTAAATTTGATTTTGTGGGTCCTTGAGTGTTTTTATGTGCCTTGAAAATAGTGCACCTTTTCCTTTTGCAGTATCTTTGAAAAAAAAAAAATTCCTTTACAAGTCCAGGGAACATTATATGTTTGAGATAGTGAAAACAAAAAGTTTCCTTGCTGTTTATTTTCTTTCTTGCAGACAAGATAGCAGACTCCATATGAAGGGTTCAGGTTTGTTGTGGCAACTTTTCAGTCTGGCATTTGAGATTCTAATCTTCCTCTATTTTTGCACATGAATACGTAGGTTAGCATTGGAGACCAAGATAGAAAAGTTCTCAGATTCCCTTGGCAAGCCTAGATTTTTTTCAATCTAAAATTATCTCTGGATTTTTGGAAGACAACATGCTTTAAGCATCCTTTAAAAAAACACAAAACCAAAATATTTTACTAAGTACTTAATTCTGTTAAAAACTTGAAGCCTGCTACACGAGGAGCTGTGTCTAGTACCAGTAGGTCTTCCCAGTCTCTAGGAAAATTGCTGTTGAGCTAGCAGGCTGGAGCATCCCCAATGGTTGGGTTATTCACTCTGTCCCTTTTCCTCTTGAGATTTTGTCCTTAGTGGAAAATAATGACCTTCCTAGATGGACAGAATGTTGGATGGAATAAGGACTTGCTTGACATTAGAGTTACAGAGGAACAGATTGCTGTTAGTGTTAATTCAGAGAGTCTGAAGTATCTGGACCTCCGCCTGTTTTTCTCTAATGATTCTGCCTGTGTGAGCATCCCCTGATTGGTAGATACAGTGGTCACTACTTGCTCCTTTCTTTGCCTTTCATGTTTTGTTTAGTTGTATTTCTTCTTGGCTAGTTCCTTATTTCCCTCTGACAGATCCCTTCACAGAATCCTTCATTACTTTCCAAGATGACCTATCCTTGATGACTCTTAAGGTTTTTTTTTTTGTTGTGGTTTGTTTTTTATTTTTATGTTTGTTTTGAGACAGTCTCCTTGTAGCCCCAGCTGGCCTGGAACTTCCTATATAGGTCAGGCTGGCCTTGATCTCACAGAGATCTGCCTACCTCTGCCTCCTGAGTGCTGGATTAAAACTATGCACCACCAAGCCCAGCAACTCCCTAAGTTCTTACTTTGCTAACATACCACATCTTATTTTTGTTATTTTATTTTATTTATTTGGGTTTTTTTAAATATTATTTTTATTTTATGTATATGAGTGTATTGCCTGCGTGTATGTGAGTGCACCCATGTCATGCAATGCCACAGAGGTCAGAAGAGGACTTTGGATTCCCCTGGAACTGGAGTTAAAGGACAGTCTGTAGCCACCATGTGGGTGCTGGGAATCAAACCCCGGTCCTCTGCAAGAGTAGTCAGTGCTCTTAACCGCTGAGCTGAGCTATCTCTCCAGCCCCATCTATTTGGTCTTTTAAGACAGGGTCTCAGAGTAGCCCCAGCTGCCTTGGAAATGACTATATAGACCAGGCTGGCTTCAAACTGACAGAAATCTGCCTGTCTCTGCCTCCCTAGTGCTGGGATTAAAGGTGTGCTACCACACTAGGCATGTTCGTTTTCCATATTGACGTAGATTGCTCTTAAAATTTGTATTCTTCCCTGTACCTGGATTTAGATTTTGCATCTTTTTCTAAAGGACTGCACACATAACCTGGTCCCAGTCTGGTTGAGAAAGAAGTAACCCAGTGAATTTAGCCAGTTCACCTTTACTTACAGTAGGAGCCATTACCTTACTGGGACATTAGAACAGATCTGAGAGGCGCAGCCTGGGGAGAGTCAGAAAGGCCATTGCTGGGAAGTGTCTAAACTACCAAGAAGGGAGCTACCAAAACCGTTCTGCTGGGTTTCAGAAATCTTACCTGTTTTGTTCATTGCATTTATCTCTAGGGCCTAGAACTGTGTTCTGGAAATGATTAAGAACATGTTGAATAATGACCATCTGAGACTACAATAAAAATAATACAAATCTTACCTATAGAAAAGATGCAGGTGAAAGCCAAGAGACATTTTGTAAATAGAGTTTGATGAATTTCAGAGAAAACTTTAAATTCAACCAAACTGACCCAGCTGTAACCCTAAGGAAGGTATGATTGGAATGTGTTTGTAACCAGAAAGCTTAATTTTGCATCCCCAAGAAAGACATGTGGTTCTACAAGAGGATTGGGATGATGTCTGTGGAAGTTGGTATAGAGAGGGTGCAGGAGAGCTAGTTAGGTGGTCTGAGGAACCTCTGTCTGGAGTCCTGACCAGGAGTGGGACACAGTCCTCGAAGTACCAAAGGATCGAGTGTGTTTTTGGTGATCCATGTAGCCCAGAGTTGCCATCTTATACACCTTTTCTAGTTTCATATGGAAATTTGTTGCCAAGGAGAGATATGAGTGGTCTGAGCTCTATATCCAGAATGCTCTGATAGATTCTGGTCTTGGGATACTGCCTGATGTCAGTCTTCCTATCTGTAGAAAGAGGACAATATGGCACCTTTTTTCCAATGTTGCCATGAGTGCTTGGAGCCTTGCACCTAGTAACGTTTCAACAAGTGTTAGCTCTTTTGGTATGTATAAACTTAGTAACTGGCCTTCTGGTTAACACAGCAGTCATCTTTAAGCCTAAATCGTTCCCCTGAAACTGTGCCTGCTCCTGACAAACCTGATAGCCAGTGGGAAGTGATGACAGATGGGCTTTTCCCAAACTGCTCAGGCAGGAAAGCCAACCTGTAGATGTCAAGAGAAGGCTTCTGGAAGAAGTGCTCAGCTGAGTAGTTTGGGAAAAGGCAGTGAATCTAGCACTGTGAAGAGCAGAGGCTACTTAGGCAGGCTCATGACATATGTAAAGGTATAGAGGTGAGCAAACCTCAGGTGTAGAATTAATAGTGGTATCTGCCTTACTGTGAGCTCACCTCGCTATCCAAGTTTGGTGCCAAGCGATTTGTGTTTATTCCTTTGTATAGTCCTTGAAACAGCAGCCCTGTGATAGATATTGCAGAAGTAGCACACTCAGTGTCACCTGGTAGGCGCCAACAGGCCGAGTGAGACCCTGTCTAAAAACAAAAAGTTGTGATGCTGTTCCTGATGAAGTCTAAGCTCCACCCAATCCTCTGATTTTATGAGACCCTCTTAGGGTAAGATGTAAAAATAGGTACATCTTAGACTACAGGTATGTCAGTGCTTGCATAGCATACAGAGGGCCCTGGGTTTGATTCTTAGTACTGTCAAAACAAAATCCAAAAACACATCTTAGAATTTAATAAAAAGAGCATAGATGGCCGGACGAGGTAGCACACGCCTTTAATCCCAGCATTTGGGAGGCAGAGGCAGGCGGAGCTCTTGTGAGTTCAAGGCCAGCCTGGTCTACACAGTGAGTTCCAGGACAGCTGGGGCTACAGGGAGACCCTGTCTCAAAAAGACCAAAAAATAAAATAAAAATAGGTGCAGATATGGATCAAACTCAGTGACATCCTTCAGTGATGAGCAAGTTGCACAGCAGTGTACATGTATGTCTATTTGGATTAATGAAAAAGGTAGAAAGATACACAGGCAGTTGATTTCTAAGTACGGGGGAAAAAGGAATGGTAGAAAACAAGCAGTGTCTTTGAGATGAGGCTCTAGAAAAAACCCCAGGCTTGGGATCCTCCTGCCTCAGCCTCCTGAGTATGTGGATTGTGTGTGTTACCACATCAGGCTACAGTAGTCTTGAATCTGAAGTGTGTCTAATTTAATTCTTCTTTGCAGGAAGAACTTAGTTTGAATTACCCATTTGTATATAGTGTTTTGGATAAATAACTTGATTTTTTTCTCCATTGAAGTCAATTTTGAATAGTTTCCATCGTACAAAGTTAAGGATAAGAAACAGTATAGAACTTTAATTTTTTTTCTTTGTTTTTGAGACAGGATCTTACTATGCAGCCCAGGATAACCTAGAACTCACAGTAATTCTTCTGCCTTAGCTTCCTAAGTACTGGGAATACAGGCATTCCCCAGCGTCACCACTGCTGGCTGAGATAATGAATCTTAAATAGGGGTAACTTTTCTTGAAAGTAAAACGAAGACAAGGGCTGGCCTTCCCTCCCTCCCTCCCTCCATCTGGCTATGTAGCCCCCACTGGCCTAGGACACTATTCTCCCCTCTGCCTCCCTAGTGCTGGGATTACAAGTGTGGGCCACCCCACCCAGCTCACACAGGATTTTCTAAGGAGAATGTGTCCCACACAGCCCAACACAGAGGGATGAGAAACAGGAAAGAGCTTTGAGGGGTTTGAAACAGGGACATGTTAGTGATGGCAGGTCATTGATACACGGCTGCTTTTCTTGGCATCTGTATGATGATGGTACAGTTTATAAAAGGTTGGCATGTTAGACTGGGTGGAATGTGGAGGCTCCGCTTTTGTCTTTGAACTGCTGTGTAGTTATGTAATGACCCTCCTAGTGCAGTGCATCTGGGTCACTTCTAGGTTGATGCCTGTAGATGACTGCCATTGATGTTCTTGACACAGGCCTCTATATTTACTGCAAGTCCAAGAATCATTCCTAGATACAGGATTCCTTTTCTTTAAAAAAAATTTATTTTATTGCATTTGTTTATTTGTGTATGTGTGTAAGCATGCATGTGGAGGGCAGAGGACAACTTGCAGGAGTTGCTTCTCTTCTTCTACCATGTGGATCCTGAAGATTGAACTCAGATCCATCCGGTTTGACAGCAAACGTCTTTACCCACTGGGCCATTTTCCTGGCCTCCTTTTTCTTTTTCTTTTTCTTTTTCTTTTTCTTTTTTTTTTCCCGTCCAAGACTGAATCCATTGCTTTGAGTCTCTGGA